TCTTGATTATTGCTTGAAAAATTGTGCAGTACAAATATCAAAATATTTATATTTATGTTAACATTATATATTTATATTTTGCAGTTATTTTGCAATTGTACTAGTTATCTTGCCATTTTGTTATGAACGTCTTTCTCGTCAAATGTAATGTTCTTTCTATTTAGTCCGAGTTCTTTTCTGAAAACTCACTGGAGAAGATTGGATTTTACTGAAGCTGTTCAGCGTTGCAAATCTTCTACTAAAGTTAATAAGCATATTTCCATGTCGATAGCAGACATTATGGTGCCTTCAGTTTTCTCAGATTTCTAGGGCTACATAAATTTTCCACACCCATGAATTTCCTGACTTTTTATTGATCCATGCACCCTGATCATTTTCACAGGCGAGAGTAATATCGCTTTAATTTACTATAATTGCCAAGTAGCATATGCTCAAATCAGACGTCGAAAGCAGCCATTAAAATCCCAAAGAAAATATTTAATATCGGAAGTTCATGCAGACCCTGTGCCTTCTTCAGAAGGTAGGATTTTATGTTTCTAGATACAACAGACTAACGATGGTTTAAATCATTATTTTAATGCAATATTTCGACTAATTACCGAGCATCGTTGCGTATTCATGCTAAGGGGCAATACTGTTTGGCCGCGTTTCCTGTGATGCCTATTATGATAGAATCCTGGTAAATTTTATTGAATAACTAGATTTTTTTTCATGTCGAAGGTGTTCGGTTCTGTTCATCGCGAAAAAATTTGATTTAGGTTTCATCACTGTCTCCATTGTTTCATCTCTGAACTCCAAATTTTTCGAATTGCATTTCTATGAATTTTCGTCAGCGTGGCGATCTTATTTTGCCACAACTTTTCATGCTTAAAATCCTTTTATATTCTCGAATGTGTCATACAGCATCACTAGTTTGGTTTCATTTCAGTATCTTTATTTTAACAACGCCGTAGACATGTAGTATAGCGTGAAATGCATTGATAACTTGATGTAATCGTTTAAAATTTATCGCTTAATTCTTTTTTATAATAGGCTACATAGATATATCTTTTCTCTTTCTTTTCTAACACCCTTCAATATTTCCTTTTGCCTTTTTTCAGCGAACTTCTTTCCTGTTCACTGTAAGTGTTAAACATTAATGCACAGCTACCTCTGTATTTAGCTTCCTATACGGGCATAAGTACATTGTTGAGAATGCAGATTGATCCTTTAACTCACATCGTTACGAGAACAGTGGCGACGGATTTAATTTTAGATTCACTTATTGCAGCGCTGTTCTATATTAAGTTCAAGATTGTTATGGAGGTCAAAATTCGTTAACGGGTTGACGTCAAAATTCTGACGAAATGAAAACAATAATCAATGTTAAGCGTAAATTAAGTAAAAAACGATTAAAATAAAAGTCTCGTGAATTTGGTTCTTTTTAAAATAAATAGTTCGTCAGTGACTTTTTTGTCATTTAGCATATTTAATGATGGTTATTTAGGAAAGGTATCATGATAAAAATATATCAGACTTTTCACGTGTTGCGACGAACTTATACCAGGAAGTAAAGATTGTCACGGATGCTTCTTATGATGAAAAAACAGCTCGAAATCAAGCAATGTGAGTATTCTAGATTTTACTGCATCATATATTCTAATAACAATGAGTACTTTATTAAAAAGCAAAATTTAATTAATGCAACGTTAATATTTAATTTTCATGTACACGTTCTTTTTCCAGAAATGGTACAATCTGTATAATGCAATCCTTCCGTCAAAATTGAATTAATCTTCTTTTTTTTTAGCATGTTCCCTTTAACAGGATTCCGCTAATCGAGTCAACCTTCTCCACATTTTCTGTCGTTGGTTAGATCTTCAGACTCGTTGCAGTTTGATATCATCCTTGATGACATCACATCACCTTTTTAGTCTTCCCCTTCTTTTCTTACCTGGCAGTATCAGTTCTTGGGCTACATTTCCACGTGCTCGATGGGTCTTCTCACCTGTCCGAACCAACTGAGCCTGGTTTCAGCAAGCTTTTCTGAAATTGGTGCTACTCCTAGAGTGTCTGTTATGTCGCTGTTTCGGACTTTGGCCTTTCTCCTGTTCAACTCTAATCAGTGTTTAATTAATAATAAAATACCGTTTTATTTTTATCTTCCCTGTTTACAGTATTTTCTTTGATACTCTGTTTTATTCTCTTTGATACAATTCAGACATTGCGGTATCTCTTCAAGTAAGGTCACTGATTTTTCGTCATTCTCCTAGTGTGGATGGATACTGGGACTCTTAGTTCATCTATCGGATTCCAGCTGGTGTATTTTTCTTGTCTACTTTCTTGCAGAGTTGTCTTAAAGACACGATAACGTCTCCCAGCTGTGCTTGTCTCGTTAAGTGAATGTTGCGGCTTTCGCTGAAGGCCTTTACTGATAC